CTTACTGATGTAATCGTTGTAACAGGGTCATTTGCACACTAGATGTGACAGTACAAGTATTTTCTGCCTGTTTTATATTTTGCCGTCCTTCCTCTGTCTGCTGGGAGCTGTGTCTGTCTCTCTGCCTTTATTACTTTATGTCTGTCTCAGGCTCTCTGTTGAATAGACGAAAACATCCAGTCTTCAGAAGCTCAATGCAGACTTTCATTAAGCTGATTTTACAGATTTCATCACCTGCAGCGAATCACCAAACCTGCTGTTTTCTCAGGATGTGATTTTTGAGGAAAATAATTCAGATTCACGGTGACAGAATCTCTCACGTGTAAAATCTTTGATAAAGACTACATAATATTGTTACAGATAGTTTATTATGATGATGAAGGCTGATTGTGTGTGCTTTCTTTTGATGCTTTCTGTTTAAATGAAACCTGTTTATAAGTCGACGCTTCACCGAACTTCCTCCTGTGTGAAGCACAGAAGCTATTACTGCTAAACCATAAATGTGTTCCTGGTTGTTACTTAAAGCGACACATTTTATTTCTGTTCGGGACGTCTGTGACCATATTTTCAGGAATGTGGTTTGAAGCGATGAGCTGAAAGTTCGTGAAGAGAAATGTGCGGTCATCAAATGTCCTGTGGTTCATCATAGGACCTGAAAGCTGCAGTAAAAGTTTAATGAGATTTCTAAGGATGCTCATTAAGGACCTCTGTAGTTCTGCCACTCAAAGCTTTGCACCACAAGGTAAAAGCATCTTCGTTTAGGTTCATATTCCCACATTAATCAGCTTTATCAGTCGTAGGCTCCCAGCAGCTCTGGATGTTGGGGTCACATGACACCGTGTGCATATTGGTCAAGAGTTGTCTGCCATATTGGAAATTATACAACCTCCAGTTGCTAGGTAAAGATGTGTCGGTTGGGTGTGGTTCCTGGAGGTTGCGCCGGTTGCACAGAAGGTGCTGCAACAATAATCTGTGATTTCTTTAGTTTGGAGCCAATTTTCCGTGTCTCTCTGTAAATACTCATGAAATATCCCAGCAGTAGTGAAACTTGGAAACGTGCATTTTTAGAGTAACTGTTTGTAAAGTCCGGCTCTTCCATTCAAACCGATGCAGCAAAACAGTCACTGGGAGGTTTTGGCCAACTGGTTGGGGAAGGCAGGTGGTTGCCAGGGGTTACTGTAGGCCTCTGTGACGAGCCTCACCAAACATTTTCACTACAACTGCCATCAACTTCCAGCAACCGCTGGCCAGCGCTTGGGGACTCATTCAGTCATTTTTCACTCATGATCAGAAATTGCCAGCCGAGCCGTCTGCAGGCTGTGTGGGCCCTTATTCACGTATTCGTTGTCACTTGTTTATTTGACATTGAAATGAGGTTTTCAAGGACTTCAAACTGAAATCTGCTTATTCAGACAGTTTAATGAGGCTTATTTTTCCATAGCACGTTCATTTGATCTTTTTCCTGAATGCACATCTTTTGGCAGAGAACAAAAAAACCTCATGTCTAACCGGACTGAGTGAGAAACGAAAGAACATTAATTATTTGTGCACAAACTCAATAACACATAAAAACATATTATTATCAGTTTGCTGGCTTATGGAGTTTGAAGGCTTAACTTGTGCTGTGACCATGTTTGGTACCTGATGGAGTCACTGTTGCCGGCTTCATTTCTCAGGCTCGCAGGTTGCTGCTTGCTTTCAGTCCCAGCTTTTATCCCACGTGGAAGAAAAAAGTTCATAAAACTTTAAAAACAAACGTGCTTTTACCTGGCAAAGCAAAATCTTTAAAGGAGGCTCAAGGTTACATAAATGGCAATCAGTTATCAAACTGCTCACAGAGAAGACACATCAGGTCTGTGACCTTCATTTAAAAGCTTTGCTTGACTTTCATGACTGAATTACACCCCATTAATCTCATACTTTATATCTCATGTTCACACACACACACACACACACACACACACACACACACACACACACACACACACACACACACACACACAGACGTCCCAGAGAAACACTTCAGCGAGCGTCTCAGATCACAGAACGACGCCCTGCTTGTTATGTCTGCCTGGCTGCTGTCTGATAAGCCCCACAGCAGCCGCCTGACTCTGAAGGCCGTGAGTGATGCAGGATTCATCTGTACGACTGCGAGTCCTGGACCAGCCGAGTCCACACTGACCTGGTTTCTGTTACGAGGCCAAAGGGGCTTTCAAGCTCAGACTCACCGACCAAAATGACATCCGGGATCTTTTGTTTTTCTGTGTAGCTGCTCCACAGTCTTTACCGAGATGTTGTTTAAAGATAAATATGGATCAAAAGAGTAAACAAACACACGACCCTCACTGCACAGGTCCTGTTTAATACCGTTTTTATTTGCTGCTGTTTTACAAACCGTTACCTCAAAACACTCCAAAAATAGCTGCTTATCTGGCCGTGCTCTCATTTGTGCTGCTTGATGAAAATACATTTCTATGAAACTGACAACAACTTATTCCCAGAACATGAGAGGCGGGTTATTTCTATAGCAAAGGGGGGACGTGCAAACACAAAGCTGCAGCACGAGCCCGTCTGTGCATTCAAGCCTTGACGGGCGACGTATGAATCAAACATCGGGACACATGAAGTGAAGCTTTGTTGAAACCAATCTGTTAGCTGCTCCAAGTGTGTGTGTGTGTGTGTGTGTGTGTGTGTGTGTGTGTGTGTGTGTGTGTGTGTGTGTGTTGCCTTCAGCGATGAATACAGGACTCATTAGAATTGCTGTCATGTTGCAGCGCTGCCTGCAGCATCTCCTCTAAAGCACAGTGGAACAACCAGTCACATTTCAGTATCCAGGAGAAGCACTGAAGAATAAAAAGACAAACACCTCCGTCTCCTGTTTGGCCTGTTGAGATGTTTAAAAATGTTCTTCAGAGGAAAATCAGCGTGGAACCAGATAAAGCGGTTGCAGCCTCTTCGTAAGTACTCGAGGGACTCTTTAAATACTGATGTTGGTACTGAAATCATTATTCTCGACAAAAGACACCAGATAGGAGGCAGACAAATCTTTAGATTTCCTGGATATATTTGATAAATAATAATAATAATGGCCTTAATTAATAAAAACAGTAAAAAAGTAGGTGTTGTTCCTACAGCGTAACCTTAATGCTGTTATTTATATTTCATAATATCCAACTATGGTGGATCCATCCATTCTTAATAATACCAAAGAATGTTTCCTGCTTGCAGTGAAACGTGCTGCTCGTTATCGTCTTCGTCCGCGACGTTACTTGTTGCTTTCTGTTCAATTTGCACAAACTGAACTTGACAAAAGAGCTTTTGTCCATTTAGCATCCTCAGCTTGGAACGAGCTGCCGAACGACCGGAAAACGTCAGAATTCATTTCATTAAGTGCTTTTAAATCAAAACTCTGAATCCTGGAGGATTTTTGTAACTGCGAGATACTCGCTGCTGCCATCTTGGCCAGTTTTTAATCTCAGTGGGATTTTCCTGGTTAAATAAATTTTTAAAAATCACCCAAAGCTTCCTGTTCATACGTCTTACACATGTGCAGTGTTGTAGTGTATTTGTTGTAGTTAGCCCAGCACAGTGTGCTGCGTGCATGATGTGTGACTTACAGAGGGTTTTATCGGTGATCTGTCCGACATGAACAAACAGCTCGAGTGCCTGTAACACCTGCGTGGTGCACCTGGTAATTTGCTCTTTTTGTTTAAAAAAATAAATCTGCATTAATAGAGCTTTAAACACTGAGGGACTGTACCAGCAGATCTCATGACCTTTCATGAATACAGAGATGACTTCATAGTGCACGTTGATCCAGTGCTGATGCGCATACATAATGTGAAGGTGAAAAACAAATCTAGATGTGCAAATACACTCTGTGGCTTTTTCCCCGAAGCCCCACCGGGCGTCCCTCTGTTCACAGTTCCAGGAAGCAGGATGACACGCTGACTGGCAGCAGCGCAGAGATGCATTAATGTGACAGTTTGAGTTAAAGCACCGTAATAAAATTAGCAGCCACTTCCCTGTTTGCCACATTTTAAAAGCATTTAAGTGATATCTGAACTGATAAGACTGACGAGCTTTTACATTTGTAAGATTCATTTTACTGCTTCAAACATACAAAAATAAACTTTTCATGACTGCGATTCCACCTTTCTTGACTTTGCTCTTCATTAAGGGGGGGATGCTGTGGGATGGCCTCTCCACGCTGCTGTCGTTGTTATTTAGGACTCGTAAACAGTTTACACAGACGGTCCTGTGACAGCTGAGCAGGATGTGAGCTTACGCCCATCGCAGTTCACTCGGCTTTCTTTTGACTCTTTGCACTGGCTCCGATTTTTCAGCGAGGTTGTTGAAAGATGAGCGAGGTGTCAGGGACAGCAAAGATTGCAGCGATGTTACAGGATCCAGGGAGGAAAATTTATTGTGTTGGTCTTCCTTCAGCCCGCCTGGAGTTGGCAGCGTTTTGAATGTCACATTACTGTGACAGTCGAGCTATTTCCAGTTTGCTCTGGACTTCAGGGACCAGAGATGAAGTAGATGTACACAGACCGAGTTCATGCATGTGTGTGTGTACAGAGCATTGCATTGTCTCTGAGACTCATTACATATCACAGCACTCAGAAATAACCGCTTTAAGTGTGTGTGTGTGTGTGTGTGTGTGTGTGTGTGTGTGTGATAAATCATAGCAGAGGGTGGTGAACAATGTGTGGCCTCTGGTCTTGGCAGGGCAGGATTATTTCAGTCAGTGTCGTGTTGTGAGTCAGAGCGGTGTGACATTTAAATCTGTCCTGTCAAGAAAGACAGTTGTGTGTGTGTGTGTGTGTCTTTGTGTTGTGGCAGCAGGGGTAAGGGTTTGGAGAAAGTGGGGTCAGGTGGCGGGGGTGTGTGAAAATGTTAAAAATGCCATTTCTGCTTACACCCTGTCTCTTTGAAAAGGTGACTGTCCCCCTCTCCGTGGGTCCGTCTGACTGTCCGTCTGTCTCTCCGTCTTTCAGATAAGCTGTTCGGGAAGCGGCTGCTGCAGGCTGGAAGACACATCATGTCTCATAAGTCTTGGATGAAAACGGTGCCCACAGAGAACTGCGACGTCCTCATGACATTTGCAGGTCAATCAAACACACACATTCCTGCTGCTTTCATACGTGTGAGAATCCTGACTGACAGCTTTCATATCACAAACACAGAACTATGTCTGCAGTTAACCCTCAGTGTGGAGCTGCTGCTCATCATCACTTTTTAATTTGCTTTTCATGTAGGAAAAGAGGGTAATCCCCGTGTTTGAAACGCTGGAACAATTTTCTGTTCTATCACAGAGGATCTGTGTCCTTTTGTATTGTTCGGCCCATTGTGATGTCCTGGGAATGTCTTGAGGAAACAGTTTTGGCAGAAACAATCACATGGACCCAAAAACTGAAATAATTCATGTTCAGGGGACAGACACTGTCTCTGTTTTTAAGATGAGGCTTACAGCGCTCCTTTTCAATAAAGCTTAAAGTTAAACCTGGATCAGATCTAACTTAGACTGCTGAGGGCTGCACTGTTTCTTCTTCTACTCTCTGTATGTTTAAACACAATTTGGCATTTAATCATTAGTTATTATTCCTCTCTGGCTCTCTTCCACGGGCGTCTTTAGTCTTGCCTTGCTCCCCTCACTCCCAACCAGTCCCAGCAGAGGGCCGCCCATCCCCGAATCTGATTCTGCTTTAGGTTTCTTCCTGTTACAAGGCAGTTTTTCCTTCCCACTGTCACCAAGTTCCGCCTCACAGAGGATCATGTGATTGTCGGGGTTTCCATGACTGCAGGGTCTTTACTTACCACGATGACTGTTGGGAGCTGATTGGCGGTGGCATACAATATGACTTATGTTACATGTTAACTTTGCAATAACTGCAGTGAACACGAGCTTTTGTATTTGTATTCTATTTTTATCTTATTGTATATTTATTTTATTTTATTCTACTGTATATAGTATTTTATTCTATTCTGTACAGCTGTGTACTGTATTTATTCTTATTGTATTCTAATTTTTGCCTCATAACTTTTGCACTGTCCACTTCCTGCTGTGACAAAACAAATTTCCCACGTGTGGGACTAATAAAGGTTATCTTATCTTATCTTATCTTACCTTATCTTTTACTGTGACGCTCAGTCAGTCACTGTAGTGTCGGTGGAAAAATGTTAGATGCGCTCTTATTTCCTAGTTTCACCTTCAGCTGTAAGCTTAGGCTGGCGCCCTGCAGGCCGAGAAGAACGTGATGATTCAGTAGTATGACCTCACACCTCCAGCTGCTGCTCAGAGATAAAAGCAAAGACTGTGGGAGTACTCGGCAGATCCTACGGGGGCGTCAACACGAACTCTTTGTTTTTCCACTTCCTGTTACAGATACTACAGATGACCACACGTTACTATGGCTACTGAACCACATCCGACTGGGAATCCCAGAGCTCATCATCCAGATCCGACATCATAAACACACGCGAGTCTACGCATTCTTCATCACCGCTACGTATGAAAAGTAAGAAATCAACCAATCAAATCAGAAAGGAGCCTCTGGTTCGTGCTTCTGTTCATTTTGCCTCTGTCAGGGCGCCCCAGGGTGGCTGTGGCTGCAATGTAGCTGCCATCACCAGTGTGTGACTGGATGTGTAAAGCGCTTTGGGGTCCTTAGGGACGAGTAAAGCGCTATAAAAATACAGGCCATGTGTTGGCTGATGCTGCTGACAGTAGGACCGCAGCACTGATTATCAAACTGTTCTTTTAGTTAATCAGTTAGTTCAATGTTTCACTCTCTCCTTTAAAATGATTAGAATATTCCAGCTTTATGATCGAACTTGCTTGTTCTCACCTTCACTGCTTCTTCAGACATATCATAGTTCGGGATGTTGGTGCTGTTTTAACTGTGATCAATAATTAACAAACGACCCATCGCAGATATTACTTAATATCGCCTCTTCCTCCACTGGCTCGAGGGGTAGTTATTTTTGAACGTTACTACGGGAGTCGGGATGTAAAAGGCGAGAATAACCCTGCTGTGCTGTGTCGGTGTGAAGCAGCGCCTCCGTTTATCATAGTTTTAAATGTAGTTGCAGCTTATAGTAGGCGCAGCAGTTTAGCTCGTACACTGTGAATCACGAGTGAAGCTGATGCCTGGTGATTCAGCATTGCTCCTCTGCTGCTGGTCTTTCAAGTTTTCCAGAGGCTTTAGCATCATGCTAACCTCTGTGTAGTGGATTTGCTGTGATTTCACTCCCACTGTCACAGACAGTCACAGGTGAGTGCAGGGTCACTTTAATATCAGTGCTGACTTTGACGTATAAATACAGAGAAATACAATCTGGGGATCAGGGCGGCAGCTGCTCCCGTGCTGCATTTCACCACAAATGTTGAATCCTCTGTGCTGACTGCGCTTTTAGACGACGGGCTTATCTAACATAAACCTTTTACCTGTGAATGCAGTAAGAGCGGACAGATTGTGGGAAAGAAGAGAGAGAGACAAGCGGGCGTGACAGAGAGAGAGAGAGAGAGATAAAAGCAGAAAGGATGCAAGGTAAAGAAACGCAAAGAGGAAGCAGTGAGGAAAGGTGGTGAGGAAGGATGGACTGAGTGCTCTTTTTAAAAGTGTGCCAGTGGGTTTTGGATGAAAAGCTCAAAGAAAGTGCTGCTTGACCACACACACACACACACACACACACACACGTGTTTTCATATCGTTGTGGGGACATCTCATTGGGATGATGCTTTCCCTAGCCCCTACCGTAACCATGAAAAATCAATGCCTAATCCTAACCGTAACCCTGACACTAAAACCACATTTTGAGTCTCAAACTCATTTGGTCCTGACAAAGATATGTAAACACACACACACCTGCTGTGGGGTCGGTTGACCTACATTTTATGTGGTAGAAATCATAACCCAGAAAGTGCTCCACGTCCTCTCGAATTCCCCTCGGATACTGATTCCCGGTCCACCATGAAGCAGCGTGAAAAATCCTTTCCTGTTTTAGTTTTGTTGGATATGTTCAGCTGTGCCATTTGTTCAGTATGTTTTCATATCGTCACATGATTTATAGTTGTGTTGTTATCATCGCTGAAAGAGTCAGGATGGAGCTGTACGTGTGGGAGTGTTTTGTGCGTTTTTTCAGAAAGGCTTCATTCATTTAACTGAAAGCAGTAAATTCAGCTGTAACAGAACATTTTCTTACCTGACATGTCATCAGTTACTCATTCTGCTGCTCTGACGGGCAGTTTACGGTTTGCCATTTGGATATGCTGAGTTTCTGCATTACCTACATTAGCATAAACACGCAGAGCTCTCCATCAGCAGTGTTACTTTACAAGGTTAGCTTTGTCCACGCTTTGCGTACAGCCTCACTGTCAGACTTTCTCTCTTTGTGTTTTTGTATTTTCTTGTTAAAAAGCTGAACACTTTTTGATGAAATAAGAAAAGAGAGAATCTCATTAAGATTCCTGGCAGCAGCTGCTCACCTCTAAAAGGCCTCCTGGTTTTGGCTTCGATTACTAAACAGTTGGTTTAAACAGATAAAGCCTCGTTTTTTTCTTCCTCACACAAGCACCTTTATTGTGACGGTTCTGCGCTGTAAGCAGTATTCAGGCGTGAAACACAAGCTTACACCTCAGATTTCTGCTGTAATCCATCAGGTGCCGTCCGTGCTTCTTTGTGCTGCCCCTGCGAGTACATGGAGCTGCATGATGGATGGCTGTTACACATCGGCCGTACGTCTTTGTGCGTGCGTGTAAAGACTATATATACATGTGAGGGCGAGGTGAGCTCTTAGCCTGCGGGGAACAGAGAGGGAGCTGCATTATTATTGAGATTTCAGCACAAGGCCGGCGGGAAGGACAGACGGAGATGGAAAAAAGGATGATGGGATAGAAGGAGGGGAGGAGCGATGGATGAAGAGGGGAGGCTGAGAGAAGACAGCGTGGGCATGAAAGAGGACGAGAGCATGGGGATAGAAGATGTGCAGGAAGGCATGATGGGAAATGAGATGAGGTTCAGACATTACAGCTGAAGGACAAACCACTGTTTTTTTTAGTAATGTGGAAAAGTGGCCAAACAGAAGTGCTGCAGTGTTGTGAATTAAGATAAATCAGGTGATTATTGGGATTATTTTTAGTGTCAATCATCAGTTTAACCAACATGTTAGAAGAAAAAAGGACCATCCCAGCATGCAGGCATACATGTTTATAGCTCATAGCTGTAAAAAGAGAGACAACACTGCGTGTTGCTGTTACTATGCAATTACTCCCATTATTCCTCTCGCCGCCTCCATAATGTGCGGTGTTACCACCAGCAGAGTGAGAGCCCGGGCATCGCCGCGTAGGCAATTAGAAACAAAAGATTTAATTAGACGAGATTAATGCACTGCAGATGACACAGATTACACGTGTAGCGTGGGCGTCTGAGGCCGGCTTAAAAAAACCTGCCCGATGTTGTCGTGCAGTTTGCTGCGAGGCGCCGAGGAAATGGGACTGAGGAAAGCAGTGAAGCCCGAGTTTGGCGGAGGAACACGGAGCTTCTCCTGCGAGGAGGACTACATCTACGAGAACATCGAGAGCGAGCTGTGCTTCTTCACCTCGCAGGTCAGTGCGACTCCAGTTATTCCCAGGTACCTACACTGGGAAAAGTTTTTCTCACGTTGCTTCCTCCTCCTCCTCTTCCCGGTGGCTGCAGGAGAGGCAGAGCATCATTAAATACTGGCTGGACAACCTACGTGCCAAACAAGGGGAGGTGCTTCATAACATCAGCTTCCTGGAAGGCCAGCCAATCAGTAAGTGATCAGAGCTAAAAGCTCCGTTGTCTTCAGCGGGCCGCGGCGTGTGTGATTGATGGTTTCCTCTCCTCGAGTGCTTCTCTCTCTAACTAAATAAAGTAAATCATCTGCTTAAATATGTTTTGCTGCTCGCTTTACTCTCTGCAGTCCCGGAGCTGAGTGCGAGAGGTGTGATCCAGCAGGTGTTCCCTCTGCATGAGCAGAGGATCCTCAGCCAGCTGATGAAGTCTTGGGTCCAGGCTGTTTGTGAGAAGCAGCCGTTAGGTTAATAAATCAAAGCTCGCTTTTACGCTGTTTCCATCTCTGACTTTGCTGTTTGCCTCACTGTTATCTTATCGATCTCACAAACAGATGATATCTGTGACTACTTCGGGGTGAAGATTGCCATGTATTTTGCCTGGCTGGGTTTCTACACCACCTCCATGTTATATCCCGCCGTGATCGGTTTCGTGCTTTGGATGCTCACCGAGTCCGATCAGGTGAGCAGAGATGAGCCGTGTGCTTGTGTAGGAAAAGGAAACAATGACACCGCCCAGTCAAACCGATAAATGTCTGCATGCTTGCCTCAGACGAGCCGGGACATCTGCTGCGTGGTGTTTGCCCTCTTCAATGTGGTGTGGGCCACTCTGTTTCTGGAGCGGTGGAAGCGGAGGGGGGCGGAGCTGGCGTATAAGTGGGGAACGCTGGACGCGCCTGCGGAGTCCCTGGAGGAACCACGGCCTCAG